TAGCACAGTCCCCTCGCCCTTCCAATATCCTAGCACAGTCCCCTCGCCCTTCCCAAGATCCTAGCACAGTCCTCTCGCCCTTCCTTCCAAGATCCTAGCACAGCCTCTCGCCCTTTCCAAAGATCCCTAGCACAGTCCTCTCCGCCCTTCCGAGATCCTAGCACAGTCCTCTCGCCCTTCCAGATCCTAGCACCAGTCCTCTCGCCCTTCCAAGATCCTAGCACAGTCCTCTCGCCCTTCCGCATCCTCTCCTAGATCCTAGCACAGTCCTCTCGCCCTTCCGAGATCCTAGCACAGTCTCGCCTTCCAGTCCTTCCTCTTTCCGAGATCCTAGCACAGCGTCCTCTCGCCCTTCCGATCCTAGCACAGTCCTCTCGCCCTTCCAAGATCCTAGCACAGTCCTCTCGCCCTTCCAAGATCCTAGCACAGTGCCTTCTCGACCTTCCCTAGCACAGATCCTAGCACAGTGCTCTCGAGATCCCTCAGATCCTAGCACAGTCCTCTCGGACCTTCAAGATCCTAGCACAGTCCTCTCGCCCTTCCGAGATCCTAGCACAGTCCTCTCGCCCTTCCGAGATCCTAGCACAGTCCTCTCGCCCTTCCAAGATCCTAGCACAGTCCTCTCGACCTTCCGAGATCCTAGCACAGTCCTCTCGACCTTGCCGAGATCCTAGCACAGTCCTCTCGCCCTTCCAGATCCTAGCACAGTCCTCTCGACCTTCCCCCTACACAGAGAGATCCTAGCACAGTCCTCTCGACCTTCCAAGATCCTAGCACAGTCCTCTCGCCCTTCCAAGATCCTAGCACATCCTCTCGCCCTTCCGAGATCCTAGCACAGTCCTCTCGCCCTTCCAGATCCTAGCACAGTCCCTCGCCCTTCCGAGATCCTAGCACAGTCCTCTCGCCCTTCCGAGATCCTAGCACAGTCCTCTCGCCCTTCCGAGATCCTAGCACAGTCCTCTCGCCCTTCCAAGATCCTAGCACAGTCCTCTCGCCCTTCCGAGATCCTAGCACAGTCCTCTCGCCCTTCCGAGATCCTAGCACAGTCCTCTCGCCCTTCCGATCCTAGCACAGTCCTAGATCCTAGCACAGAATCCTAGCACAGTCCAAGATCCTAGCACAGTCCTCTCGCCCTTCCAAGATCCTAGCACAGTCCTCTCCACTTTTGTGTTTTGATAATTCGACACACAAGCCAGAGGAAAAGGGAGAGACACTTACGAAAGGGGCGCATTCATGAGGACACTTGTGAATGAGGAAAGTAACTGCTCAAGGGGACAAGTCGTAGAGTAATTAAGTAAATGAGGACTTGTGTTAAGAGTAGGGGGAGTCGAGGCTAAGGAGGCAAAAACAAAGAAACAAAAAAAGAAAAGAAAAAAAAAAAAACGCAAAATGAAATAGACATTAATGAAAAAAATAAAACAGAGTAAAAAGGGGGGAAAGAATTCATAAATCTGCAAAAAAATGAAAAATAAATAAAACAATAATAATACTAAATAGATAGTCTTTTTCGTTTTTATAGAAAATCTTTTCTTATCTATTTCGTGGTGAGTATTTAAAAAAAAAAAAAAAAAGGTTTTGATAAGATTGCGTGATAACCAATTAATCAGATCTGGGGACTAGGATAAAAAAATGAATAAAGAAAAAGCAATAAAATACAAATAAACAAATATACAAAATACAAAATAGATAAGAAAATAGATAAACAAAAATACAAAATAAAAATAATAAAAAAAAATAAATAAACAAAAATACAAAATAAAAGATAGATAAAAAATAAATAAATAAAAAAAATAATAAAAAACAGACGGAAAAAGCAGTCAAACGATAACATGACCGCTGACGTCATGAGCTGCTCCGTCAAAGGGTAAACAATGAGCCAGAAAACACACGCATTCGACCATCGCCGATGATTGCGAGCCAAAGAATCGTATCGTGCTCTTTTGTGGGTCGATTCGGACAACCCTTCCATTGAGTCGTCTATTCTTTGTTGAGTCGTCTATTCTCTGATTCTCTGCGGCATATTTCTGTCCACCTTTTGTCCGTTTCCCTCTCCGCGAAATCTTTTTTTTTTTTTTTTTTTCTGTAAGTTTACCCTCTCCGAGCCTCTCTGTTCTCCGCCGCGACCCCCTTTCAATATGCGTTCGCGTCCGGCATCCGAAATGCGATGCGATAATGCGATGCACTGCGATGCAATACGAAAACACACGCAAATAAATCAATCACACGTACATACACAGACACACACACACATACACATTCACACGCACGTACACACACACACACCGTCACACACACACACAAACACACACACACATATTTATATATAATATATATATATATATATATATATATATATATATATATTATATATATATATATATATATACATCACACACACACACACACACATGCACACACACACACACACACACACACACATATATATATATATATATATAATATATATATATATATATATATATATATATATATATATATA